CCTTGTTATATTAGGGTGACACTCGAGCACTTTAGGCAACAATTTGTGTGATATGTTTTAGTAATGTCTGATATCGAAATATAAAAGCACAAACGGAAAACACCCCATAGAAATATAAAAGGCAGTGTAAGAGATAAAAGTAATATTGCAACGGACGTTTTCTGATTACCGGACACCTTCAGCTGCGTCCCCGGACATAACTTATTCAAGCAAGCAAAGGACGAACAGGTAAGAATCGGAATCAAAGAGTCGCATCGCGGATGTTTTATTCACGCGGAAGTGCCATGCAAAACATCGCATTTGAAAATTTAATCGCCCGAAAATGTCACCTGAGCGGGATACGCCGCTCGAAAAATAAAGCAGCGTAACGGGACACGAAAGCACAGGACAATCTTCTTGCGCACGATGGGAGAGTATAACCAATAACAGGCACGATCATAACCAGCAGTTCTCCTACCGTATACTGCTTTAAAGTATATGAACTCTCTAAAAATGAAATAGTCAAAATTCTACTATTTGAATTAGTACCAGCATTTTTTACTAATAAAATAGTCGTTTTCACTTTTAAATAGTTATTTTTTACTACGTAAATAGTTAAAGTTTGACTAATTTAAGATTAGTCACCATCTTTGACTATTTCTGTGAGTTAAAAGTAACTAATTTCCTTAATCGTTTTCGGCCAACAACAAAGTATTATTTGAAGTAAATAAATAAATAATAAAAACAAATAAAGATGCAAAAAGTTTAGCTCTAAACAGCAACACAAATAATATATCCAACTTTAAAATATTATATAAACAATATTTATTGACAAATAAAATTGATTTTTATAAGAGCGGCTGATAGCCGAATGGGTTATGACAACAGCTTGACAAGCTTGACAAGTGACAGACCCCGACTGGGTCAAAACTTTTTTAAATTTAAATCTACTAATTTGACTATTTCATCCAGTATAATTTGACTAATTATTAGTGACTGCTTTTTCGCTATGACAATTAGTCAAATATGACTTATATTTAGTTATTTTTGACTAATTAATTTTAAGAAAGAAAGTATATGAAAGTTATTTTTACGGTGAACGGAAATTCAGAGAGACTGGACATGTCGAAGGTATTCTAAAACCTGGCAAGTATTAGTGAAGACACTAAAATTGACATTGTGTTTCGTGTGGAAGAAGATACTCTAAACCGATCCTATATTTTTGCCTAACCTTACAATTTCTTTACCTCTGATTCTACAGATTTCTGTTTAAATTTTCAATTAATATAATATTTGTAAGTACTTCTTAATATTTGTGTGTTGATATATGCATTTTACATAATATCACAAATCATCAAATTTGTTCATGTGTTTTTGTTGTCATTTTTAACCAAGTTAAAAGTACAACTATTTTTTTAGGTTTATGTGATAATCATAATTTCTGGTTTCTGATAATGAACGCGTGTTAAGGGATGAACTTATGTTAAAGAATGAACTTGCATTAAAAAAGGTATGGAAGGTTAATAACCTAATAACCTTAGGTTATGGTAATAAAAAAGAATAAAGAAGGTACGAAAGGTTATGGTGGATGTTCTGTGGTTGATGGTAATGAATGTATGTTAAAGAATGAACTTGGTTGTGTTGAATAAAGGATAAAGAAGGTATAGAAGGTTATGAAAGGTGAAAATGGGTTAGTTAAATACTTTTATAATGTAGTTTTTGGTTGTTTTATGTATTTAAAATTAAATAAATATTTGTATAATTTATAAAAGAATTTTTATTACAAGAAAAAAAATTAATATTAAAATTAAAAACATACTTTTAAATATCCCGCCAAATCATCAATTAAATTAAGTACATAGAACAAAACCATTAATTACATAGAACAACATTATCAAGTAGTTGTATAAGTTCCCAGCGAGGGCGTTGTGACTCTAGTTTCCAACGTATTTGTTAAAACTGGCTGTCTCTTTCTCCCTTGTCTCTGCCGTAGACTACAATTTTGTGAAACTATGATGAATTTATGTAACCATAATCCACACTTTCCTCGTAAAATACTTTTTTAGTACGAAGCTACCTTCTGTTGGAATGGTACAGTCAACCGTCAAAATTATAGACACTGAAGCAGAGCCTCATTGGATAGTAGAGGCAAGTTCCCAAAACCGGCAAAAAGTGAATGTCTGCCATGGGCAGGAATGATGGAAAATCCAATCTTCTTTGACGAGAACATTACAGGGCAAACGTATTTGGAATTTTTGCAAAACTCTCTTCATCCCACCTTATCAGAAATGTTTACCAATGAGAATGGAGGTCCCGATCTACCGAAGATACCATTTGGTTTCCACAGGACGAGACACCTCCGCACTATGCGCGTCCTGTCGACTAAGTTTGACATTTAGTGAAGCATAACGGCGGCGATGTTGTTTTTACATTATTTCTTTTTGCAAGTTTTAGCTATAAAAGGCTGATTTGGACATTATTAAAATCAGTCTACTGGTGGCTCAAATTCCGACTGGTCTAGTACTTGCTGGAAGAACCCATACCGAGACTTGAATGCATAAGGATTATTTCCTGGTGATATGAAACAGTAGGTTAACCTGTGGCTTTTATGCCGTATTTAACCTATTTAAAAATCCTGCCACCCGTCCTGTCATTCATAATCCATCTAACATACCACATTTAACATCCAAGTGACCATAACCTCACTTATATATTTTGCATTTAATATTTCTTCTTTATAGCCCAGTTGCAAGTGAACCTGCAAGTCTGTGGAGGAAAACGGAGCCTGTACCTGCCTGTTGCCTTTTGGGTGCAAAGAACAAAATATTGACCTGTTCGCACACATAAAATTGTATTATATTTATCTACGATAGACCTTTATTTTATGTATATATCCTTTATTTATGATTTTGTATATATTGTATATATTTATATAAAAGAATAAACAAGTTTAAGTTATTTTTGGCATTTAAATTAAACCACAAAACCTGAACTGATTCTCAAACCCTATTTCTCCACTGTAAAGTTACTCGAGGTACTAGAACTAGAGAGACCCTATAGTGAGTACTTAAGGCCATTACCAGCCTAGGTACGACAGAATCTCACTCGATTATTTTTTATGGGGCTACCTTAAATCAACTAGCCACAAAATTTAGAAGAGTGTCGTGAATATTGTCCCATAGTGCGCCGTACCGATACAGAACTCTCAGGACTAGCAGGACGGCCGAGGAAGCCGCACATCCATCAGGAGTCAAACGGTCGCGGGAGCAAGAAAGCGGGCGGCATGCAGGAGCGGCGTAGCAGCAGAAATGATTTCCCCGATGGCCTGTAAAGCGTTTTTCTGGCGTGCTCTCGCCGGAAAGACAACGCAGACTCCATCTACCGTACGAACGGATGCAGATCGCGTTCGCGTCTTTGAGTCGAAACGCAGGAAACTGCGGTGCACGCTGCTATAAAAATCAGATTTGTCAACATGAGTTTGTAGTTATTTTAAGATAATTTTTTGTACAAAACCAGGGTTTGTAATTATTTTAACGAAGGAAAATATGTTGAATTATTATTAAATCTACAAACTGTGTACCACCAACTCAAAAATGAAGATATTTTTATTTGTGGCATGGATTTATTGAACGAACTCGTACATATCTAAGAAGTATTTGGCTTTGTACTCGGGATCTTCCTCTAGTCAAATATTCAGTCGACGTCGTCCCAGTTGGCGTCTGGATTTCTGCATGGCACGTCAGAGGATTGCGCTCCATTCGCCAGGAAATACATTTACAACCACTTTAAATTGCCTTATAACAACCCGGTGCATTATCTTGATCGTTAGCGGAAGATGTTGTCTACGACTTTCTTAATGCCTCAGCCAGTTTACTTGATTGCTTTATTGCCACCGGTTTATTAGCACTTGCATGCGTTCCCTGGCATCGAGACCGAGATTTTAATGGAGAGAGATTAAGACCGCTAGATTTGTCTGCCACAATTGGGAAAACTAGAAAATGAGTTTACTGTCAAAATTCACCGCAACTTTACTTCAATAATAAGGACATCACAGAAGAATCTGGTTCTGGAAAATATCATCACTGAAGGCCTAATACTAATGTGCATTTTGTACACTGTTTAAAATATCTGTGGTGTAAAGAATAATCCTAAAATGGTGTCAAAATCCAACACCAAGTGGTGTTAATATAAAACCACGAATTATGGTTGAAAATGAAGACCAAAACGGTGTTTATCTAAAAATATTTGAGAAGTGCACCTACACAGAAAAAAAGGAATAGTTCATTTATATTAATTTAGTTGACCCATAAGTATTTTTTTTGTGGATCACGTGATGTTCTTAAATCTCGACTCTGTTTACCTACATGAAGAATATATAAGCTCAAGCTTTGGTGTGACACTACAAGTTGTTCGATACTAGACCTTAAATAGGTGGAAACAGCTGTCAATACTTGAAGTATTTTAAGTTAGTGGAACGAACTAAAAACATTATCTCTAGTGAGTTGAAGGTTCCATTTTCTGGAATAATACCACTGGTAATATACTAGTAATGCGTCAAGGAACTTCCTGTTTCCTTTTTTTTTCCTTTTTTCTGTGTAGTATGATTTAATTTGACCAAAAACACATAATATTTAACACTGAAAAGGAGTTCAATTTACACCAGGTAAAATTTATTTTAATACTGTGTGAAAGTTAAATTAACACCATTTTAGTATTTGAATTTACACCGGACGAACCATATTTAACACCATTTTGGTTTGTATCGATATAGACCAAATATGGTGTTAAAATGGTCATAAAATTTTGAACAGTGTAACATTGGCATTTAGCACAATTGTAACAATTCGATTAAATTGGTCTTTATTAATTAGATTTGTTTATAGACAGATTCCCATTAGCAGACAGTCCATTGTCTGTTGGTAGGTAACTCCTTAAACCAATATTGAAGGGACATTGTCGACATATCCAATATACGGTTGATACTATCTGTACCAAATTAAAGATTGATGAATTTCACTTACCTATGATTACACTGCTGACAGGCAAAACACTCCAAATGATACACGTTACTTCTGGCTCTCATCACCATCTCAAAAGCTGGTATCACCTTGCTGCAAGCGGCGCAATATCCGGTGTTGCCAAACAACCTCAGGTAGTCCCTCTTGCAGAGTATCAAATTGGCTTTGGTGTACAAAGTGGAGCCCACCTCACCCAGCCGGCAGTCGCAGCAGCCGCACTTGAGGCAGTCCTCGTGCCAGAAGAGGTCCAAAGCTTTGAGGAGGTACCGTTCGGTGATGGGTTTGCAGCAGCCTGCGCACTCTTGAGGTCCGCCGCCAGTGCTCTGCTTGGACACCTCGGTTTTCGACACGTCCATCGTCATCATGGGGCCGTTAGGCCTGCTCTTTATCTGCAACAAGATGGTCATTTAGTTTTGATTGAAAATAAAGTAATAGTTGAAATAAAATCTTGTGTAGAATCTCTGTGGCAATAAAACTAGAACCCAACAAGAAGTTTGCAATTTATTTAATGCAAAGTATCCAGGCACATTTTTTAATGAATTTGTGCCGGTCACTGTATATATACAAACTATATAGAATCAAGTAAGTAAGGCTGGAGACAAGGATGACAAATTATATTCTGATCAGAGAAAAAGAAACAAACTTTAATTGGGCGTGGTTTAAACCAAGCCATTCGTAATTACGAATCATAGTTGCCAGGTTGTTTTAAATTAGAAGAGAACGATTATAATTATTTAATAAATAGTTCAATTTTATTTGTTTGAAACTTTAAAAATAACAAAAAAAATTAATAATATGTCAAAAATAATTTGATTTAGTTAATTTTCTTACTTTTAATATTAAAAAATAAGAAAAACAACCCTTTTAGGAAACAATAATAGCATATGTCAACAGCGCGGCATGCAGCCAGATACAAGGGCATACAGCTGTGTTTGTTCAGTAGCTCCGACGCTGTCGTAGGGAAATGTGAATAGTTTTTAAGAAATACATTTTCGCCATTAACTGGAATTTAATGGATTTTAAACAATACTTAGTTTTTTTTGCATAAATGCATTAAAACAAAACAAACGAATTCGATAAAAATAAAACCTATAAATTCTCAAACAAAAATAATTTAAAATAACGAAAATAACTTTTTTTCTAAATTAAATGTTCAAATAGACCACCAGCAGCAGTTAAACAATACCCTACCACAGTGGGCGGGGTTTGGCACTTGTTTTATTTAAGTGTATTCGTTTTAATACAGACTGTATATATATATATATATATATATATATAGGGTAAACCACATAGTTATTGGACACTTAAGGAATATTATTTATTTAAAATTTATATATGCCGTTTATTATTATTATGTATTCGTTTTAATACACACTGTAAGTATATATATATATATATATATATATATATATAGGGTAAACCACATAGTTATTGGACACTTTAGGAATATTATTTATTTAAATTTTATATATACCCTTGTTTTACAGATTTTAGTTTTTTTCTTATAAATATATGAAAAGGTTAGTGTGTTTGTTTAAACTTTATTTACGTTTACTTAAAAATAAGAATATTTGAATTTTTAATATTATTTTTATAAAAATATGCAAAAAAAGTATAGTAATTGGACACATGGACTATAGTTATTGGACATACAATTTTTATATAAACGTAACAACTTTACATCAAATAACATAAATTATTAAATATTTTTTAAAGAAAAATTGCTGTTTAAGGTAATTTTTTTATTTCGTTTTTGTAAATATCATATACCTAATTCATATATTTCTTTCTCGGATTCCTCATCCCTTTTCTGAATTCTAAAGGTAACTACTAATTCCTTGGTCTAACTTCTGAAATAGTTTGTGCAAATATCATTAAGTGTGGTATCTCTAGTTTGTGAAGCATTTATAAGGTTTAGGCCGAAACAGGATGATCTATAAATATCTATTATTTTTTCGGGTGGCATGTTAATAGTACATTCTGTAACAAGTTTGGAATACAGCATATTCCGCTCGAGAAAAAATTTGACACACGAGCCGAAGGCGAGTGTGACGGTTTTACGAGAGTGGAATATGCTATTCCAAACGTGTTTCAGACATTATTTTCTCTACGACTACGTAAGAATAGTAACGCTTATATAATTTTAAACAGTGAAAAGAAACCAAGCAGTTTTTGACATTTAAGTTTTTTGTATTGTCAAACCATTTTGTGCTGTCACAATTTTATAATGTAAATTATAATAAATTTTAAAAAATGGTATGCCTAAATCTTTATTATAATTAAAAATAGTTATTTACACTAACTAATAAAAAAAATAACATTGTAACAAATACAAAACTAATTTTACAAGTAATCTATGTCAACATCTATTCTTTTTCTACATTTTAAAGGTCTTTTTATAAACTTTTTGAATCTGTCAAAACTTCAAAGCCGGTATAGTAGGTAACTGGTTTATAATTTTAATATCAAATTTATTATAATTTTGATTTGTATATTTGAAAAACAATAAATATAACTAATTTTTTGTGCCTAAACCTTAATTATACAACTGCTATTATTTTTTAATTAATAAATAATACAGTAATATTTAAATATTTTTAAATTTTTTACGTTTAGTAAACAGCCAGGAGATGTCGTTACTTGTGACCATTCTTAACCAAGAGTAGGAATATTCTCGCACAGTATTGCAGAAAAACATCCTTTCTATGATCAAAAATTACACTAGAATGTTACTATTCTTAAGTAGTCGTAGAGAAAAGTATTTTCCGAATTTATTAATTTTTTGCCATTAGTTTTTTAGGTTTTCTATCATGCACTGTATTTGAATCACTGTTATTCTGCAAGATGTCCTGTGACGAAGAAATCACTATATTACTCTCTAAAATTGAATTAGTCAAAAATTTTTGTCAACAGCAATTTAGGACATTTAGAAGTCAATTCCTATTTTATTCGCTGAATACGAAAATGTCGTCAAAAGTTATAAAAGTAGAACAGTTTTTGAAATATAATCAATTTTACATATAATATGGAATTGACTATATCTCAAACACTGCTTAAGTTTTATAGTTTTTGACGGTCGTTTCGGATTCAGGGGACAATTTTACATAAGAATTGGGTGGTAAATGTCTGGAATACAAATAAAGTATGATATTGGACATATGTCCAATAGTAAAAATTTACATTTTTTACCAACCAGTAATTGGACACTGGCCATTTTACTGTTTGTTTTCAGAATTAAAATTAAAACGCATTAAAGTGACAATATTTAAACCGTGAGGAACACATTTATACCACACACTGATCTGTACACTTTTTAAAAATATTTTTTATTGTAATTTAAACACAGCCTTGCCCTTAACAAAAAACAAAAATCTTACCACCAAAGTAAAGTGCTAACTTTTTTGTCCTATATTTGACCCAAAATAGAGTAGTTCTATATTATTACCGACTGAGATAGTTATAATTGTATACAGCGCCATCTAATGATTTGACGGAACTATTTATAGAACTCTTGTTTTTATAGTATTAATGTTAATTAATAACTATAAAGTGACGGGTATACCCGTTATAACTGTCTACTTTACCCTATATATATATGGTGAATAATGAAAAATCTATATCCAATTTAAAAACCATATTTGCTTCGATATCCAATATAAATTTTTAAGACGAAGAGCAATCGAGGAATCAATCTGATTTGATAAATAATTTGAGGGCCGATTTATCATTTGACATTTTATCCTTGTATTTGATTGTTTCGCAATATTACCGACTTTATTGGGTTCTAGTGATATTGTTTTCGTTGGTTATTCGACTCAATGCGGTTTTTTCGAGTAATTATTTTAGGATTTTCATTTATTGAAAAGTATATTGTGCCGAACGCTTCCATTTATCTGAGTTTTCTTTTGAAAAATTCACTGAAAAAAAATGACAGTAAAGCAATTATCGTGACGTATGTGAAATGATTTAAATTAATGAAAATCTATTTCGGGAAAATGAAGAGTAGGAAATAATTAATGGAATTTAATTAGATTTGTTTACTTAGTGGAAATTAAAACGTAAAAGTAGACGGTTTTAATGGCAGAAAGAAATATAATGCCTGTAAATGAAGAAGGATGAAAGTTTTTGATTGGATTCAAGGGATCATGGTGGCTTTGAATTAGTTTTTGATTGATTTTCTAGCCGCTAGGAGTGCTACTTAATTGGAAGCGTTGATTACAACAAAATCCCCTTTGAAAAATTGCCCCTTATAATTGGTTTACTCGATAACGTATTGAATTATTTCGCGCTAATTTCAGATCAAATCATTTCAATGTTTATCTAAATATAAGTTTTATTTTGGTTATAGGGGTCAGTAACAACTCCGAGCCTATAGATTATACACGACGAATTTACCCTCTCCACTTTCGTGACGTAGTGTAATACAGGGTGTCCCAAAATTAGTGGGCCAAACTTAAACAGAGCATTCTTCATAGAAAAGTAACACTTTTTTGTTAAATAAACATGTATCAAAAAATGCCCCCTAACGGAGCTACGGCCCCCTGAATAGGAGCCTAAGAGAATAGTTTTTTTTAAACTATTCCTAGAGCGTTAAACATGAAGAAATTAAATTTTGTCACTTTGGTAATTTTTAGATGCTGAATCAAGATCTAAGATCAAAACTGTTAAAATTTAATCATAGGCGTAACATTTGAGGGGGAAAAGTTATAAAAATAGCCCCAACTTTTTTCCGAGATAATATTTTAATTTTTTTTAATGAAATTATGAAAACTTATAGTTTTTTACGAAAAATAGGTAGTCTTAATTTGAATCGCTCAGATGCACCATTTTCAAGAAAAATGCATTTATAAATTACTCTGCATAGCATACACATCTCATATTTTCGTTAAAATTTTGTGTTAAATTTTGAAAAATCGCTCCATAATAAAAAATAACAAAAATCGAGCCAAAAAATATTAACTAAACTATAAAAATAAATGTAAAGTCAGCAAATAACCCAAACGTCACTTTTGTCCCAAAACTTTTTAATGAAAATATTAGAAACTATGCTAAGCATAGTAATTTAAATTGCAATTTTCTCGAAAATGGTGCATCTGAGCGATTCAAAGCAAGAGTACCTATTTTTCATGAAAAACTATACATTTTCATAATTTTATAACAAAAAATTAAAATACTCACTCTGCAAAAAGTTGGGGCTGTTTTTGTAAATTTGCCCCCTCAAATGTTACGCCTATGATTAAATTTTAACAGTTTTGATCATAATGTCAAAATTACCAGTTCCAAAAATTCAGGTTTTCATGTTCAACCCTCCAGGAACAGTTTTTAAAAAATGATTCTCTTAAGCTCCTATTTAGGGGGGCGTAGTTCCGTTAGGGGGCATTTTTTGATA